GTTGTACCGCCAGGGACGGGATGGGCGCGTTGCTGTTATTAAAGCAAGAAAAGCTGTACTGCTACCCTGCAGGCATTTAAACAAAGATTAGTGGGCTGCACCTACGCCCCAAACCATGGGATTTGTTTTTAGCAAGTTTACCTTTGCTGGTAAATCTTCGTTAGCCTTCTTGGGTATCTCAGGTCAAGATTTTTAAGCTGTTCATTGTAATTTTGCGGGTGAATAAGTTACTTGTGAAAGAAATTTGAGAGTTTTATGAATAACCTGTCTGCTAGAGGTGAATGACCATCTAGTATCAGCAGATGTGTGATAACGCTGTGACAGTAGGGTTGATGTCACTTAGCATCATGACATGGCTATAAATTCTGGTATAGAATTTACAAGGTTAAACTGTTTATCCCTAAATACCTGAGCATCCTAGTAACAAACACTTGCACTTGACTGCACTAGACTTGTAATGTTGGGTTAGTTGTTAATTTGCTGTCAAAAAGTTGTGACTGCTCTACTCAAAGTTACCTTCTTCCAGAAGTTTTATTTTTTGTGCTTGGAAGCTTTTGGAAACCAGGTAATGGAGTTACAGCTAGCACTGGCAAGACCACAGAACTAAAACTGTGGAGTAGGAGCACTCTACACCTTGACTAACTGTGGATCACTTACCATCTCAGGACCTAGGTGGGATATATTAACTGTTGAGATGACTTGCATATAGATTTCCAGCAAACCTGGAAAAGCATATTTCTGACTTAAGTATAGTGGTGCACAATATTTTGCTGTAATTCAGATGCTATATATGATGTTATTCACATTATTGGCAATAAAATGCACAAAAAAATCATGGGATTCCCCAATTATATTGTCTTCAGTTAAATAATATGCGGGAGGAAGAATGTCCTTCAGTGGGATTTCTTTTTGAGGACGTTTTTCCCCTCCTCTTTACGTGTCATTTCAAGTTCTCAATAACACCACACTCACTCATTACAGATAATGTTTATCTTTTCCCTAAAATCATATTACTTATTTTTCAGTGTTACAATTCTCATTCTGTCGCATGCCCCTCCATTTACTTTCCATATCATCCTACGTTTGCCCTCATGGCCTTTCTTACTCCCTTGATGCCCCCCCTTCTAGATTTCTGATTCTTTTATGTTTCCTCTGATTCTTCAGAATTTCCTGTGGCTTGTTTCCATGCATTTTCTCTTTTTGTGTGTCCTTAACCTCATTTCCAGGTTCTCTGTATTTTCCCCATGTGCTCCTAACTTTCACAGTGGAAAAAATGGCAGCTGTCTTTGCTGAGGCCAGTGTGTTTTCTGTCTCAAAAAAAAAAAAAAAAGGCAGTTTCATTTATTAAAGGCAGTTCAGTTTTATGAAGAAAAAAGACAAAATAGCCACAAGGGTCCTTCTGGCATTGATTCCTTTTGAAGGTAAAGGGAGGAATTGCAATTTTGAAGTCAGAAGCTATGTTACATAAAAATTGAAAACCAAGCTACCGAGTGCCTTGTAAGAAAGAACTGTTGGGCCTACCATCCTGTTTCCAGTAGTGGCCAACAGTCTACCACGGGTTTTGGAGCAGGGCAAGCGTACAATAATGAAAAATAAAAATACTTTCCTGGCTTCCAGTGATCTGTGACTGTAGGAATTCCTGAGCCAAAATGGTGTCTTCACACTTCAGACCCCTGAGTGTGTTTTTTTTTCTTCTGCTGGTGGGTGTGATGATCGCTTTTGGAATCCGGGCATGCTTCTGGCTCCCCCAGCACTCTGGCAGGCAGTCCCACACCTCAGCTGTGTGTTGGCTAAAAAAGTACCTCCCTGTATTTGTTTCAAACCTGTCTCCTGCTTGTTTTATGTGATGCCTCTTAGGTCTTGCTTTGGAAGAGATGGAGAACAGCCATCCCAGTTTACCTTCTCCATGGCATTCGTGATTTTGGAGCCTGCTATAGTATCCTCTGCTCAATTGTCTCTCTTACAGACCAGTATTTTTAATCATTCCCCTTACGGCAGCCATTCTGTACCACTGATCATCCTTGTTACCTTTCTCTGTATCATGTCTGGGTTAATTTATGTTCTCAGGATTGGGGACCAGAACTACAGTCTGGATTCAAACCTATGGATTTATGCATTGGCATAACAACACTTTCTGTTTTGTCCTCAAATCTTTTCCTAATAACTCATAGCATTTGATTGCATTTCTGATTGCTTTGTCCAACCGGGATCGTTCCACTTTTTATCCGCTTACTAATCTAATTTCTATTTGTGACAACTGTCCACTTCTACCTAAATGGAACATGTTGATATCTGGGTCTGTGCTAATTTCAATTATGTGGTAATTTAAGTTCTCACAAGTAATCAGTATTGTCAGTTTGGATGCCTTTCCTTTACTTTTTATTAAGTAATCCATTTTCTGCATTAGCAATATTATTTGGGGTAAAACTAATTTTGTCATTTGGCTTCTTCCTATCCATTTGCTTTAGTCATCACAAAGAGGCTTTGTTTTTATTTGAGGGCACATGTCTTTTGTTCTCTTCCATAATCTTTTCCTCATCCCTGGATAACCGAGTGCTTCCTTTGAGCCCTTGGTAACACAGATCTTTCTATTGCAGTCTTGGGAACCTGACAGTAGAAAGCACATCTCAAAGCAATGTCGCTACATTTCTCTGTTACAACAAACAGGAGTATATCAGGTCCAATGAATGGGACTCGGCGTGTGACAATTACCCGACGCTTTAAAAATTCACCTAGCGAGTCAATGACAAGGGGTGTGAGGACGGCTGTGGCACAGCGCGGGCAGGGGCCAAGGGCTTGTGGCCAGCTGAAAATCAGCTTGGGATTGAAGGAAGGGGGTGGCCCCCGCTGAGCCTTCGCGCAGCTCTTGCTCTGACGGCGATCTGATGCGAGGCTGTATGGCTGCGCTGTTGAAGTCAGCCCTGTACACAGGCGGGCAAACTACGAGGGTGTCATGTGTCTGTGACTCGGGACTCTGACATAGTGTTCACCATTGTGTCCTCTAAGGAAAAATTAAAAAGTTATTTTCTTACGGTTGTGATCACCTACTGACTTTTTCACTCTTTATCTTTGCTAATATGAAATAAAAACTTCTAAATTTATATACTGTATATATACACATATTTTATGATGTGAAGTTCATGATCTTTATAGATCACAGTTTTGTTTTTTTTTTAAATTATGATTTCTAAGACCTTTCTTCATTGCGTGAAAGCTGTTGTCAGTCTCCTAGTTTTATACAAGGCCTAAAATACAGCATTTCCTCCATCTGATCTTCATGAAATGGTGGATTGTTTATAATAATAGCTCTTGTATCCTTCTTCTGACCTTTCCAGGTTTTGGTGAGCAATGAGAAAAGCTTCCTGTAAATGTTGCTTTAATATACGTTTCTCCATGTGTAAAGCAGAAGTTCTGGTTTCCCATGCATCTTTGTGTAGAAAACTAAAAAAATGCAAACCTCAAAGAGCTTTTGGAAATGGCAGAAGCAGTCAAAGAACATAAGGGTAATCTTGCACTCTGATTTCTGTGGTAGCTCATTACTCTGAGCAGAATCTCTGTTTTCTTCTGACCTTCCAAGCTGACTAATTTTTTATGACTCATCAAAAAGGCTTACAGATGACTGATATGTAGATTACTTGTGCATTGGTGTGTGTCATGTTGAACCTTAAGTAAAAGGAAGTTTCTATTAAGAAGTATTTGAGAAATTCTAATAATTTGTAATGCCTTTTATTTGCAGGTAGTTTTTTAGTTTAAAAATGGAATTTGCAAAATGGAAGTCTTTTTTGAGAGCAGCAGTTGAATAAGTTGTTGGTGGGGAAACGCTTTATTACACGATGAATATGTTAGGTGTGTACAAAAAAAGGAGTAAGCCTAATCTCTGGATTTTAACAGCACATCTGGATTTATGAAGTTGTTTTATTCTGAAATTTTCAGCTTTATGCTTTTGTATTAAGGAGATTTAAACTCTGGAAATTGTTAATTTGGAACTATTTTAAACATTAGTATAGTGATGGGCAGTACTATTTGAATTGTTTGGAATACTAATACCCGAGTGTCTGCTCCAGCAAGTATTGCATTCCTATTAGTTCATGTGAACAGGCGTGGGGTCTCAAGGCGCTGCGTGTGGGGGCAGGAGTCGCTTCCCACCTGTCTAATCCCCCCCTTCCCACTCAGTTTGCTTTCTGTGACTGACCTTGGTCCACTCCGGACACCTCTAGGCATCCACTGGCTTTCTA